TCATGAAAACGTTATTTTCAACAAAAAATTTTGACTGGTGATCACAAAATGCACATTTTTGTTTAATTTCAAATTGGATTTTTTTGCTTTGCTCTCCTCTCATCAAACACGCTTTCTGTCTCACTTCTACTTTCACCCATCATTTGCAGTGAGGCAAAAAGGAGGGGAGAGAAAAATAACTCAAAAATCCCCAAATTGAAAACTTTTTTCTTTGAAAATCCAGTCCGAAATTGTGATTTGAAAATAAAATGTTTTTACATTTCTTTCTTTCTTTTCTTTCTCAAAAAAATGAAATTTTTCATGGTGAAAAATTTCGTTATTTTAACAAGTTCTTGATCAGATTTCCTGAGGGGATTTCAAGATCTTTTGTATGCTGGAAATCTGCCCCAATTCAAGACATCCCCTGCACCAATAGAAGTAATGATTTCCATAGTCTTCCTTAGGGGTTTACATTGGGACAGATACATGACGAGCAGCTGGAATCAGCACAAATCCCAATTTAGACAATGTTTGGGTTAAACTCTTCTTTCCTGAATCCTCCATAACCATATTTATTAGGTGCCACTTTAGAGGCACCTAAGAATCTCTTCGCAGATGCATCCAGGACCTGGCTGCTTCTTGTGAAGTGTTGATAGAAGCCGTAATTGCTATGATCCTTTCAGGATTGGACCTCTGTAGCCTAAAAGGTTTGGGACATCTTTAAAAGGGCTTGATTCTGAATAAAGTGTTGAGCACTTTTCTTCCCAAAATCAGGCCCCCTTTAAGGTATTGAGCTGGGGCACACACAGCCTCAAAATCTCTAGTCACTTCTGAAAATCTTGGCAGAAGGTATTAAGTCCGAACTCCCAAATATCTGCGGTATTTGTTCACTTTTAGCTACAGCATTCTAACAGTGCCGTCAGAAATGGAGGGATGTGCACTCATGACCTTAACTCTGCCCTAGAGGTTGAATTTTGCTTTTAACTCAAGGACTCTAACAATGATGCAGTAAATTAAGGGATATTTGTTATTAACCTCACCTGTGCCCGTCATAGGTTATATTTATCTGTGGGTTTAGCAACAACTGCTAGCATCTGATGTAGGGTTGCCATTCTTCCAGGATTGTCCTGGAGTCTCCAGGAATTAAAGATTCATCTTTAATTAAAGATTATGTCATGATGAAACCTCCCGGAATAAGTCGAAACAAAATTGGCAACCCTAATCTCATGAGGAGGTGGGACTTGGATGTTACCAAGCTGCATTTGGAGGCTTTAATGTTTTCTACTTGCCAAACCCTCTTCCAAACTTTTTTCCTTTGGAATATCTTTTTCAGTCCCTCTTTTGTTTGCACCTTGCCCTAAATCCTGTCTGGGTCAGTTACATGTGGGTTCCTATTTTTCTCTCTTTATTCAATTAATAAGACTTGCCGTTTCCATAAGCAGTTCCCTGCATTTTTGTCCTGGTTCTGGGTCGAGTTTTTATTTGTTTCTTTCTTTCTTTGGTGGTTTTTGTTGTTTAACAATTTTAACTCAGACATCTTTTCTCCAAACTGCTGCTCAGTCGTTTGATTTCCCAAAAGAACAAAAAGGATGTAAACAGGTGTAAAAAGGTGTAAACAGTCTGATTCACAATCCCTCAGCAGGTTTAATTCCCAGGCCAGTGTCCTTGCAGCTAGACCACGCTGTCAAAGCTACTGAGAGAATGTGGAGCTGGTGAGGGGGCAGAGTCCGAACTCTTGGGTTCTATTCCCAGTCTAGGGATGGGAGTAAGCAGTACAGGAATGTCTGTGCAGTTGTGATCCATGCAGTGAGCTGTCAGATGCTGTGAATTCTCAGGGCATCTCCAGCTCAGGTTCCCAACACATCATAACTGGTCTCCTGGGTCTGACACGTGGGCAGCTCGTCCCCGCCCCCTAGCAGCATCGTGGCATTCAGCCAGACTGGATTCAGCTGCTCCCTTCCAACCTCAGCACAAACAGATCCTTCCCACATTGGAATGGGGCTCAGACCCAGATCTCCCCCACACGCACCACTGCTGTTCAGAGTGAATGTGCCAGAGCTATGTGCCAGCCAGACCTCACCCGCACCCCAGAGACCCCCGGAGCCAGCTCCCCACCCCCTCTATAACACTGTGCCTTCCTGCTATACTGACATTGTCTCCCTGAAAGAGCAACCCCCCAGAAATGCTCCCTGTCAGAGCATCCATTTCAGGAGCAGACCCCATCTCCATTGATCCAATTATTCCCAGCTCTGGGAAGGAAATGGGGTCTAGTGAGTTAGAGGTGGGAGTCAGGATTCCTGGTTTCTATCCCCAGCTCTGCGAAGGGAGTGGGGTCTAGTGCGTTAAGTAGGGATGCAGGAAGTCAGGACTCCTGGTTCTAGCCCTAGCTCTGCAAAGGGAGTGGGGTCTAGCGGATTAGAGTTGGGGGGAGATAGGGTGATCACTCATGCCTCCCCAGAGTACTGGATATTCCAGTACTTCCAGGAATGGTGTGCACTCTCCCTGCCAGCATGACCTGGGGGGGAATTCATTCCTGACCACAAATTTGGTGAGCAGTTATACCATGAGCATGCAAACAAGGCACATCAGCTCTGAGCACTGGTCCACCCTCCGGTGTCCTACCTCCAGATGTGGTCAATCCCTAATGATACAGAGAAAGGTGAATAAAACAAATAACCCAGAATCTATTGCCCAATTGTGCCGCTGGGGGGAAAACGTCATGCCTGACCCCTGCAGGCCACTGGCGGAAGTATAAGATTGGATTACTGCCCTTGTCTTCATGCAGACCTGAGTGTTATGAGCATGCAGAGGGCAATACAGGTGACCCTGCTTGGACAGCAGTCCGGAAGGGACCACCACAACCATCACAGAATCACAGAACTGGAAGGGACCTCAAGAGGTCAACTAGTCCAGTCCCCTGCACTTGAGGCAGGACTAATTATCCAGACCATCCCTGACAGGTTTGTCTAACCTGTTCTTAAAAATCTCCAATGATGGAGATTCCACAACCTCCCTAGGCAATTTATTCCAGTGCCTAACCACCCTGACAGTTAGGAAGTTTTTGCTAATGTCCAACCTAAACTTCCCTTGCTGCAATTGAAGCCCATTGCTTCTTGTCCTAGCCTCAGTGGTTAAGAAAAAACAATTTTTCTTCCTCCTCCTGGTAACCACCTTTTACATACTTGAAAACGGTTATCATGTCCCCTCTCAGTCTTCTCTTTTCCAGACTAAACAAACCCAATTTTTTCAATCTTCCCTCGTAGGTCATATTTTATAGACCTTTAATCATTTTTGTTGATCTTCTCTGGACTCTCCCCAAATTGTCCATGTCCTTCCTGAAATGTGGTGCCCAGACCTGGACACAAGTTGAGGCCTAATCAGAGCGGCAGAACTACTTCTCATGTCTTGTTTACAACACTCCTGCTAATACATCCCAGAATTATGTTCGCTTTTTTTGCAACAGCATTATTGACTCATATTTAGTTTGTGGTCCACTATGACCCCCAGATCCCTTCTCGCAGTACTCCTTCCTAGGCAGTCATTTCCCATTTTGTATGTGTGCAACTGATTGTTCCTTCCTAAGTGGAGTACTTTGCATTTGTCCTTATTGAATTTCATCCTATTTACTTCAGACCATTTCTCCAGTTTGTCCAGATCGTTTTGAATTTTAATCCGGTCCTCCAAAGCACTTGCAATCCCTCCTAGTTTAGTACCATCCGCAAACTTTATAAGTGTACTCTCTATGCCATTATCTAAATCATTGATGAAGAACCGGACCCAGAACTGATCCCTGTGGGACCCCACTCGTTAAGACATTCCAGCATGACTGTGAACCGCTGATAACTACTCTCTGGGAATGGTTTTCCAACCAGTTTTGCACCACCTTATAGTAGCTCCATCTAGGTTGTATTTCCCGTTTATTTATAAGATCATGCAGGACAGTATCAAAAGCTTTACTAAAATCAAGATATACCACGTCCCCCCATCCACGAGACTTGGTACCCTGTCGAAGAAAGCTATTTGGGTTGGTTTGACAAGTGCAACGAGGATGAGCATGGCTCAGCAGGCAGCTCCGGGGCTCAGTGTGTCGGCCGACCCACGTTTCACCTGGGAACCACGGGCTTTTGTTTTTAATATCAAGAAACCTGCTGCGGCTCAAGCGGCATTGGCTCGGGGTGGGGGGTGGCACACAACCCACGGAGACCTGCGGCACTGTGGGCAGGGCCCAGCCTGCCTGATGCTGGTCCATACAGCAAAGACGGGCAGCTCTCCTAGGGCGGGATTGCCCCTGGGGCACCTCTGAGTTTGTCGCCATGGCGCAGCCCTGTGAGCAGCAGACTGGAGCCAGGGGCCAACACTGGCCCTTTCTTCCTTGGGGGGATGAAAGGAGAGAGCTCTGCCGCAGCAGGCCCGGCCTAAGTTGGCGGTAATGGTAGGAGGAGGGTTTAGGAGGCACCGCTTCCTACTGGACGGAGAGTTCAGCACCATGGCAGGGAAGAGGGGGCTGGTGCGGCAAGATGGAGGAGCCACCTTCCCTGAGGCCATCTGATCCTGCTCCATGGGGTGTTGCTTGGCTCAGGGCTGCAGAGAATCCAGCCACCAGCCACTTCCTCCTGCCTTGTGCTCTGACCATTGCAGCTTACGCCTGCCATGGCCCCAGCCCCAACCCACACCCCTGGCCTTTGGTTCCACCTCAGCCTACACTTGACATGGCCCAGCCCCAACCAACCCCCCCAGCCTTTGGCTCCACCTCGGCCTATGCCCGCCATGGCCCAGCCCCAGCCAGCCCCTGCCTGGCCTTCAGCTCCACCTCAGCCTACACCTGCAATGGCCCAGCCCTGTCCAGCTCCCCTGGCCTTTGGCTCCACCTTGGCCCATGCCCCCAGTGGCCCTAGCTCTGTCCTGCCTGTCCCAGCAAGGGAGTATCTCCACACTCAGTGGCCACCAGCCCCTGGTGGTGAGTCCTCTGGTGCCTGGCCAGGTTGGAGCTGACCCGGAAGGTGCGGCCGCAGCCCTGGCACTGGTAGGGCCGCTCCCCGGTGTGGACTCTCTGGTGCCGGATGAAGTTGGAGCTGCCGGCGAAGGCGCGGCCGCACTCCAGGCAGCGGTAGGGGCGCTCCCCGGTGTGGGTGCGGCAGTGCTCAGCGAAGGCAGTGCTCTGCCCGAACCTCTTGCCACAGTCAGGGCAGCGGTGGGGCTTCTCGCCGGCATGGCTCCGGCGGTGCCGAGCCAGGGAGGAGACACTGGCGAAGACCGCCCCACACTCAGCACACTTATAGGGTCGCTCCCCTGTGTGGCTCCGCACGTGCTTGACTAACGCAGCCCGGAGCCGGAAGCGCCGGCCACACTCGGGGCAGCCGTGAGGTCGCTCGCCACGGTGGATTAGCTGGTGCCGGCTGAGGTGGGTGGCGCGGGTGAAGCCCTGGCTGCATTGGTGGCAGCGGTAGGGGCGCTCCCCAGTGTGGGTGCGCTGGTGCTCCACCAGTAGGGAGCTGCGGTCAAAGCTGCGCCCGCACTGGGCACATGAGAACGGCCGTTCCCCCGAGTGGCTGCGCCGGTGGATGGTCAGGAGTGAGTGGCTGGCAAAGGCTTTCCCACATTGGTGGCAGAAGTGGGATCTCTCCCCTACGACATGCGTTCTTTGGTGCCTGGCCAGCCCTGCGCTCCCTGTGAAGCTCTCCCCACACTCAGGGCAGCGCCAGGGCCCCTCGCCCGCTGCATGGAGGCTCTGGTGCCGGCAGAGGTTGGAGCTCTGAGTGAAGCATTTCCCACACTGGGTGCAGCAGAAGGGACGCTCCCCCGTGTGGACCCGCTGGTGCTTCGTGAGGTTCGACCTGCGGCTGAAGCCCTTCCCGCACATGGGGCAGGTGATGGGGCTTGGGATGCCACCCACTGACCCGTCGCTCAAGCCACTCTTCACGCAAATGGAGCCCAGAGGTCCAGGATCCTGCTGCCCTTCCACCCAGCGATCGCCCCCCTTGAGTTTACAGGACACACTCCCTTTGCATCTGGCTGCTTCCCTTTCATGCTGCAAAGTCTCTTCCTTGCTTCTACGTGGGATCTCGGCACCTGTAAGAGGAGCCAGATGGGAGTCATTGCTGCACTGATGCCCAGAGGAGGTGTCCTGGGGCAGACCAGGAGTGGCCTGTAATAATCTATAGCCGCTCTAGATGTTCGTCTGCCTAATGTACAGAGGGTTACTGCAGCATCTATCGGGTCAGTTCCATATCCTGGCAGTCAGGAACCGTGGCTGGACAATAGCCCAGGTCAGAGCTCTTGAGATGCACACCCAGGACTAGCGACCTCTGCCCTCCCACTTCTGGTGGGCCAGACCCACCTTCCTAGGGCTGAGATCCAGATCCTCAAAGGTACTTCCAACTCCTAACTTCCACTGAAATCAATGGGAACCTTTGAGGATCTGTGCCTGAATCACCCCCGCCCCCATGAAGGGGGGAGGGGACAGTCAAAAGACCGAGGGTGAGCGAGATGTTGAAGAAACACACACTCCCTGAGAGACTGGTTTTACATGATGGTTAAGGGGGAGAAACTGCCTCCCTGAATCTCCTGAGCTGGGAGTGTCTCAAGGAAGCTAAGCCTGCCTAGCATGGAAGATGAGGGAGTTTGTTATCCTCTCCTCCCTATTCACCTGCCAGAGTGCCAGGAGTGAAATCAAAGGATGGTCCCTCACAGATGGTCTCCGAATACCCTCACCTTCTTGGGTGCCTCTTGGCATCTCCTGTTCCTTGGAGCACTGGGGATCTGGGACTTGCAGCTCTTCCCATGGCTCCATGTGTGACACGAGGTCGGGTTTGGGAACGGGGACGCCTGCCCCTGGAACAGCAGAGAGGAGGCATTGGAGATTATCACAGGACTGAGAACTTCTTACTGTCACTAGCAACAGTAGCACCTAGAAACCCCGGCAGAGATCAGGGCCCCATTGTGCCAGGGACCGCATGAGCACCCAACGACCGAGTTTGGGGCTCTGTTGCCCTGGGTGCTGTACAGGTACGCAGTGGAAGACACTCCCTGCCCTGAACAGCTTACTGTCTGCTCTAAATAGACAAAGTGCAGGAGTATAAACTGAGGCCCAGAGAGGAAAGGTGATTTGTCCAAGGTCTATAGCAGAACCATGAATCGAACCCAGGAGTTCGGAGTCCTTGCCCAGCACTCAGCCAGTGCCAGTGTCACAAGTTAGGTCCAATAAAAGCAGGGCTGTCAATTAATTGCAGTTAACGCAAGCAATTAATGGAAAACAAATTAACTAGATTAAAAAATAGTCACGATCAATCACAGTTTTAATCGCACTGTTAAACAATAATAGAATACCAATTTAAATGTATTATAAATACTTCAATATATTTGAAAATGTAGCAAAACATCCAGATTTCAATTACAACATGGAATACAAAGGGTACAGTGCTCACGTTATATTAGTATTTTTGATTACAAATATTTGCACTGTAAAAAATATAAACAAAAGAAATGGTGTTTTTCAGTTCACCTCATACAAGTACTGGAGTGCAATCTCTTTATTGTGAAAGCGCAACTTACAAATGTAGAGTTATTATTATCACTTTAGAATCTGCAAGTCGAAGCATGAAGGGGCATGCTAAAGTTTAGCACATCTGGCACATAAACACCTTGCCATGCCAGCTACCACAGTACCATGCGAACGCCTGTTCTCACTTTCAGGTGACATTGCAAATAAGAAGCGGGCAGCATTATCGCCTGTCAATGTAAACAAACTTGTGTGTCTGAGCGATTGGCTGAACAAGAAATAGGACTGAGTGGACTTGTAGGCTCTAAAGTTTTCCATTGTTTTGCTTTTGAGTGTAGTTTATGTAAAAAAATAATTCTACATTTATAAATTGCACTTTCACTATAAAGAGGTTGCACCACAGAACTTGCATGAGGTGAACTGAAAAATAATATACAGTGCGCACTGTACACTTTGTATTCCGTGTTGTGATTGAAATCAATATGTTTGAAAATGTAGAAAAACATCCAAAAATATTTATAATACATTTAAATTGATACTCTGTTATTGTTTAACACTGCGATTAAAACTGTGATTAATCGTGACTGTTTTTTTAATCTCGTGATTAATTGTGATTATTTTTTTAATCATTTGACAACCCCAGATAAAAGATATTACCTCACCCACTCTGTCTCTCTGAAATCCTGGGACCAACACAGCTACAGCTACGCTGTGTATCGCAAGAGACACGATGTCCTCTTAAATTGCCATTACTCGGGCACGGGATGCCCGGGGCATTGCTAATGGGTAGGGCATCTGATTTTAGGTTTTAGCTGATAAACACGAACAAAACACCCCAATACAAAGAAAAGAAATCAAACATTGGAAAGGGTTATAAGGACTTGTCTAGACGGAGCAGTCATGTGCACTACAGGAGTATGATTTCTCAAATGAAGGAATGTGTTGAGCATTAATTGGTCCACATGGACCCTGCTGGTGCGCACTAGAAGCTCCCTAGTGTGCTCTAACATAGTGCTGTTTGAAACAGTGCTAGGTAAAAGTGCATAAGGGCCTATAGCAAATAAATTCCTCATTACAATATAATATTGATAATACAATAAAGTGATAATACTCTGTTGATTTACTCAAAGTTTAAATTGCAAAATGAAGAATATTGATACAAAGGGAAAGGCCTGAAACACCCCCCCCCCCAGCTTTTGGATAGCTACACAGAACTCAAAAATTGTTAAAAATAACGCCCGAAAAACTGAACCCCAAAAGCAGAAGCCCCACTAACAGGGGGCCACTAACTAAGCCCCAGCCCAGCCGCTGTTCCCACCCCGTGGGCATCTAGAGGAGTTGGGCAAGTCCCAGCTCCAGCTGCCACACCACAAACTAGCTCACCCTTGGCAGGCAGTGTGGGCAGGGAGCAGGTGGCTCCCTGGAGAGGCAGTCATTGCTCCACCAGACACCAGCCCCCCCCCTTCCCTCATGCCTTCTCCACAGCCGGGTTCCTCCCCCCAGCCTAAGTCAGCCCACACCCGGGATCATCGCTGGCAGAGCCATTCCCCCGGGCAGGCCATTGCCTCGCCTGCTGCACAACTTGCTTAACGCCTGCACTGCGGAGCTAGCTGCACAGACCCCGGGGCTGCCCAGGGATTGGGGCGGGGGGGGGGGGAATCTCTCTGGTCCCAGCCGCGGTTCGACTCCGATCCCCCCCCCGGCCCTGAAGCCGCTTCCTCCAGGCAGCGATTTCCTGCCTCTGCGGCTGTTTCCCTCCCTCCCATGGCCGCCTCTCCCCGCGCCCCGACTCACCGCCGGGCCGGGGCGATCCCCCGGAGCTGCAGACTGCGGCGGGAGGGCAGCTGGGCTCGGGACCCAGGTGTCCGAGGCTGGCACAGGAAGGTCCCTCCGCTATCCCGTCCCCCTCCCTGCTCCAGGCTACACGCCAGGCGCTTGGTGTCTTTAACCCATTCGTGCCCCGGCTCGCTGGGGAACGGGGAGGTAAACGAGGAGGGAGATTCCTGGTGGGAGGATTTGAACCCGGGGCAGGGGGCGCAGAGGCGGCAGCGTGGTACAAAATCGGAGGCAGCCCATGGGTTATGGCTGCCACAGCTGGGAATAAAACCCAGGCCCCCCCTGCTCTAACCAACTAGACTCCCCTCCTCCCCCCAAGCTGCAAAGAGAACCCAGGAGTCCTGAGTTCCACTCCCCTCCCAACTCACTGGACCTCATTCCCCTCCCAGAGCCAGGGATAGCCTGGTCACCTGAGACAGGGTCTGCCCTGACATGGGGGGGGGGGTCTGATGGGAAATGCAGTGTGTGTGTGTGAGCGTGTGGCGGGTGGGACACATTGCTTGATCTCCCAGGAGACACCGTCTCAGCACAGCAGGAAGGCACAGGGTTATAGACGGGCGGGGAGCCGGCTCTGAGGGAAGGGGAATGGGTCTGGCTGGCACACAGCTCTGGCACATTTACTCTGAAAGGCAGAGGGTGGATGTGGGTGAGATATGGGTCTGCACCCCAGTCCAATGGAGGAAGGGTCTGTTTGTGCCTAGGTTGGAGAGGAGTGGCTGAGTCTAGTTTGGAGGGAGGGGGCAGCCCCAGGATGCCGCTGGGGAGGGGACTGGCTGCCCCATCTGTCCGAACCCCGCTGCCCAGCTCTGGGTGACCCCTTAGGCTCACACTCCACATGGCTGAGTGCACAGGGATGGGGATCCAGATTTGGATCCTGCTGCTAACACTGGATAAGCCAGGGAAGGGACACAAGAACAGGGCATGGGTAGCTCACCCGTCCGGCTTCCCCTTTGTTCCCCTCCTTCCCAGACCCAGGAAAGGGAGCAGACAGAGCCAGGGATGTGGCTTCCACCATCATCTTTATTAGTGAGCAGAGTATTCACACAGGGCGGGGACAAGCCCCACCTGGAGTCAGCTGCACACGTTCCCACAGAAAGCACCATCACCAGGGCCAGCAGTGCTGGGGGGGGCGTCATGCTGGGGTGGAGAGCTCCTCAGTGGGAGGAGCTGTGGGGATCATGCCAGGGGCATGTGAGGCCCACACGGGGGGAGGGGGAGTCAGTGCAAGGAGCTGTGGGGCCCTGCTGTGCTGGTGGGAGATGGAGGTCTCGGTGGTCAGGGCCGCCACGGATGGGGGGCTCAGTGGGAGGCGCCATGGGGGCCACACTGGGATGGGGGGGGGGCTCCACGGGAAGAGCTGTGCAGGCCATAACGGGAGGGGGGAGGGGCTCCATGGAGGCCACACCAGGGTCGAGGGGAAGACGGGGTCTCAGTCATCAGAGCCATCGGGGCTGCCATGGCCGGGGGACGTGGGAGGGCGGCTCAGGAACACGTCCCCGTAGGAGCGGGGGGAAGTGAAGGCCTGGGCAGGGGTCAGCCCCAGGGCGCGCCCCCCAGGCCCGCCCCCTCCGCGGTCCCGTTCCTCTTCCTCCTGGGCGCGGCGGCGGAAGGACTGGAAGTCGATGGCGGCGCAGTTGTCGGGCAGCCCCTGAGGCACCTGCCCGTCCCCGGGACGACACACCTCAAAGCGCACCCAGCGGTAGGCCCCGCACTTGCGGGCCCCGGGGCAGCTCTGGATCAGGTTGTGCACGGCCGGGTGTGAGAAGCCAAAGAAATCAGCCCCGGCTGGCTCCAGCTCAGGGTAGGGCCGCCCCCGGGCAGCACTGATGGCCGCCAGCAGCTGGGTGTGGCAGGTGTCAGCCGTGGTGCCTGCCAGAGCACTGCCCGGCTCATCCTCAGGCACGATCTCAAAGCGGGGGCCTGCCCCACCATCTTTGATCTGGCAGGTGTAGAGGCAGCGCTGGTCAGGGCGCCGCATGCTGGCGTAGACCCGGGTGCTGCAGAAGCCCACTGGGTAGATGGCCCCCTCATCGTGGAAGCCTGGCCGGTCGGCCACGATCTCCCCCAGGCTGTAGACCGTCAGCCCACCCAGCGCGATGGGGAAGACAGGCCGACCCGAGGGGTCCAGCGGCACTGGCTGCACCAGCCGCCGCACCCCCCTGTCTGGCGCTGCCCGCCGCTTGGCCGCACGCCCGTTCTCCTTGCCCTTCTTGGGCCGCTTCCCCGCAGGTGCTGGGTCATCTGGGCCAGGCGTTGGTGCCACGCTGTACCCTGCTGAAATGCCCCCCAGTGGCACGGCTGGGCTCTCCTCCTCGGCCGTCAGCGCCTGCAGCTGCAGCAGCTTGGTGAAGAGGAATCGACGCTCCTCTCTCGCCCGCAGGAATTTCTCCTCCAGCCGGGCAATCTCATCGCACAGTGCTGCATTCTCGAACACCATGGCCTTGGCCGCCCGGCGCAGCCGGCTGTACTTCAGCCGGTACTTCTCATTCTGGCTCTTCCTTGACACCTTCTTCATCCTCAGCTCACCACGCCTGGAGTGACAGCCACGTTCAGACCTGCTGGAGCAGAGAGCCCGGGCACCATCACTGCTATGGCCACGCACAGACACACACATTCATAGATTCGCTTTCACATGGGCACTCACACAAAGATCGTGGTTTCCTATCCATTCCCAGAGCTCCCTCCATTAGCTCTGTCCCTGCAAAGGCCGCTGGACTCTGAAGAACAGCACATTTCATAAACGTTAAGGCCAGAAGAAAGGCCCATTTTGCCTCTCCATCCCAGCCCCCCCTAACAATTCTTGCATCCTGTCTGAGCTACCGACATTGCAATTTCAGATGTTTATTGCTCTGTATGATCTGTGCTCTCCGTGATTAGGTCAAAGAGCATTAAGGTATTAGACGTGGTGCAAAGTGTCTCTTTGTGAGTGGTACCAGTATAGTGACAGCTGTATAATTATATAGCTGTACCAGTAAATTTCCCTGTGTAGACAAGCCCCTTAGTCTCTCGCTGTAAGGCAGGTTTCCACCATGACCCGTAAGCCCTTCCCAGGGCTTCTCCTTTCCAGGATACAGCCCCTCATCTATTAACTGTAGGCTACTCCCTCTGTCCTAGATGTGTAACCATGCATTTGGCCCTGTTAAGACACACACTCAATAGGGTGGCTCTGTATAACTGACCTGCCCTTAGCGCTATTTACCGAGCTGGTGGGCCAGAGGCAGGAATCGCTGGGGGAGACCCTCCGGCCTAGATGATGCAGGAGGCCGGGCTGGGTGGGCTCAGTGGCCTTGAGCATCTATGAAGAAGGCAAGTGACTGGGCCCCTCCACTCACAAGCCACCACGGCTGCTGTCTGATTGGCTCTGAGCAGGAGAGTGGCTGGCTGGCTGAGGGGTGTGGGAGAATATTGGACATGGGATCTGGGGGGGGGGGGTGTCCTGGCTGGCTCAGAGATGCGGGGAATGGGACACGGGGGGGGGGGAGAAAGGGGGGAATCTCTGATCCAGCCCCAGGGGGACTGGCTGGCTGGGGGGTACCGCTAACGTGGTTGGGTTGGGGGCCCCTGCAGGGCTTAGCTGCACAGACCGTGATGCCCCGGAGCTGGCCGAGTGGGGGTGTCTCTCTCTGCCCCCCCGGGCTCCGATCCCCACCTCGCTCTGCCGCTTCCTCCAGGCAGCGATGTCCTGCCTCTGTTGCTGCGTCTGTTTCCCTCCCGCCCCGGGGCCGCCTCTCGCCGCGACTCTGGGTCTCCCCGGCGCCCCCACTCACCGCCGGGCCGGGGCGATTCCCCGGGGGCCGCGCTGCAGACGGGCCCGCTCCTCGCGCCCGCACGGGCCGGGAGCCGGCTCAGGGGTGGGGCCCCAGCTGCCTGGGGGCCGGCACAGGAAGGTCCCTCTGTTATTCCGGTCCCACCCAGCCCTGCCTGCGATGTGAAGGGGAGGAGTTTTCAGCCCTTTCTCCCGGGTTAGGGTGGTGCAGGTCAGGGATAGGGCTGTGTGGATTAGAGCTGGAGTTGGGGATACAGGCGGATTAGGTCTGGGATTGGGGTGATGCAAATTCGGGTGATGCAGATTAGGGAGCCGGGGGTAGCATTGGGCAGATTGGGTTTGGAGTTAGAGCTGAGCAGATGAAGGATAGGGCTCAGGTTCTGCAGGTTAGGTTTGTGGTTAGGAAGATATAGATTATGGGTGGAGCTGTGCACATTAGGATTTGGGTTAGGGTTATGCATTTTAGCCTGGTTACCCAGGTTTTATTCCATGTAACTCTTTCTACGCCAATTTTGCACTGAGCTCGATTTTTACTCAGAACCCTGTGCTGCAGCAAGTCAAAGAGCCTGTAGAAGTCAAGTCTATTATATCCACACGGTTACACAGATCGGCTAAAAGTGTCGGCTTATTTTAAAATTATAGCAAGTTTGTGGAGAGGGTCAGAATCTAAATTAAAATACATAGTTCAGTTCAGAAGAAATGTTGAGGTTGTTTTCATGCCAAAGTTTCAAGCGATGTTTTTCATTTTTCATAACATTAATCAAAACCATTGTAAAAATAAATAGAACAGGAGGACTTGTGGCACCTTAGAGACGAACCCATTTATTTGAGCATAAGCGTTCGTGAACTACAGCCCACTTCATCGGATTGCTGTAGCTCACGAAAGCTTATGCTCAAATAAATGGGTTAGTCTCTACGGTGCCACAAGTCCTCCTTTTCTTTTTGCGGATACAGACTAACACGGCTGCTCCTCTGAAACCTGTCATTGTAAACATAGTTACAGAAATTTTTCATTTACAGTAAACAATAATTTTCTAATAACATTTCAATAGCATTATACGTTTGATAAAACATTCAATTAAGAAATGTCACAATGTTTTGTAAAAAAAATGACATGGAAAATATGAAATATTTTTTGTGTGCAAAAGATTTCATTTTTGGGAAAAGGCCATTTTTCAGCAACATTTTCTGTGAAAAATTTTGACCCTAGTCAATTCTCATTCAAAAAAACCATTTTGTAGAGCACCGCATACATGCACATGACATCGCATGCACCGTCTATGTGAGGGCATGCTGTGCAGAGCAAAATGGAATCATCTGTACACTCGGGATCGGCACAACCCCAGCTGCAGTTTGGGAACGGCTGATATAGATATATTGTTTTCTATGCCGTGTTTGAGAAAAAAATTATTAAAAAGTCAAAGTTTTCACAGAAGACAAAAATGCCAATATTTTTTCACAATTTCTTTTGTTTTCAAATATATTTTGTGTTAAAAAATTTGTGACCACCTGTACA